GAATCTGGGTTTCACCCCCTGAAAACAATGAGTAGGCCACAGCAGAGACTAGGTGGATATTCGCTATCTAGTATGAGGTTGGCAACTCAAGGACCTCATTTGTATTGTTTTAAAATGTGTAGGTTCCCCCAAATGGTAGAATCTGAAATCACAGTACTTTTCTCGCTGAAATTGTGGTGGTCCTGGACAGTGTTGCACTATCAGAAGCCATTGGTAGAGATTTCTTTGCTTCTTTTTCCTCCTCAGAGATTATGATCTTTAATTGTTCTCAGGCTTTTGGAGGAAACTTGTTCACAAAGGGTGATACTTAGTCACATGTCAAAAAGTCATACTTGGCAAACAACACTGAGTAATTCATTACGCACAGTTGGAGTGAGGGAGAAGAGTAAATTTTTCTTCCAAAATGATCCCAATTGATCCCGATTTCCAGAAAGCTTTGGCTGGCTCCAAAATCTCTTAATTTATAGGCTGCTTCTAATCCATCTGGAGTGAAGGATATTGCATTGTTTATGAAATACTGAGGTCTCAATTTCCAGAAATTCAGTGATTCACAATAATTCCTGAAGGCTCTTAAAGCATTTGGGGATCAAGAGAGATTGCCTCAAAGGAAATAATGAAGCAGCTTTGGAAGAAGTTAGTGATTCAAGATATCTCATGTTTAGGCTGTTTTTTTCACCAATCTCTCTAAGATCTTCTCTGGAAGATAATGAAAATGAGGCTGTGGGAGAATAAAAACTTTTATAATTCTATGATTAGGAAGGAGACTTATTTCTACATGCTGAACCTGTGTGGCCAGGGTGATAGAGAGGTTCATAGAGCCTAAGATCAGAGAGGAACACTGTTTCATAGTTTCATAGCTGGCAGGGTTGGAAGGGACCTAAGCAGATCATCTAATCCGACCCCCTGCCCTGGGCAGGAAAGGATGCTGGGGTCCCAACTAGGTGGCTGTCTAGCCTCCTTTTGAAGACCCCCAGCATAGGGGTGAGCACCACTTGCCTTGGAAGTTGGTTCCAGTCCTAGCCGCCCTGACAGTGAAGTAGTGCCTTCTGATATCTAGCCTGAATCTACTCTCAGTCAACTTATGGCCGTTGTTCCTTGTTACCCCCAGTAACAAGGGGGAACAGGGACTCTCCCATAGCCTGCTGGTCCCCCTTGGCAAGTTTATAGGCAGCCACCAGATTCCCTCTCAGTCTTCTTTCGGAGAGGCTGAATAGGTTCAGGTCTCTTAGCCTCTCCTTGTAGGGCCTGCCCTGCTGCCCCCTGATTATGTGAGTGGCCCTTCTCTGGACCCTCTCAATGCTGTCCACATCCCTCCTGAAGTGCGGTGACCAGAACTGGATGCAGTACTCCAACTGTGGCCTGACTAATGTCGCATAGAGGGGGAGGATCACCTCCTTGGACCTGCTCGTGATGCATCTATGGATGCATGACAAGGTGCGGTTGGCCTTCCTGACCGTGTCCCCACACTGCCGGCCCATGTTCATCTTGGAATCAGTAGTGATTCCAAGATCCTTCTCTACCTCTGTGCTGACAAGAAGGGAGTTCCCCAGCCTGTACGTATCCTCCCCAGCTGCAACACCTTGCACTTGTCTGTATTGAAACCCATCCTATTCTCATGTGCTCACCTCTGTAACCTGTCCAGATCTAGCTGTAGCCTGTTCCTCTCTTCTAGCATGCTCACTTCTCCCCACATCTTAGTGTTTTAGTGTCATCTGCAATCACTTAGTTTCCATACTGGCTAGCTGGACCCTTTTCTTCCACACAGTGAGTAAGCTACAGCTCTGAAATGAGTCTGGAATCATGAACCATCTCCTTATTTTGGTGTGTACATTTTAGACACAATGCACCCTTTGATAGGCTCAAGGCACCCCTCAGAAAATGCCAGCTTAGTTTTCACTTGATTTTTGACTACAGAGAAATAATAGAGCAATTCTTCTACTACAAAGAACTCACGTAGACCACAACTCAGAATGTCATGGACACTGTGGATTCCTATTTGAAATCTCTAGTTTAGCAAGAGATAAATCTCTGGGTGTATATTGGAAATCATGGGCACCTATACGCGTGCAGAGAGGCTGTTCCGACATGCTGTAATCATAACATGTCAGGGCAGACTCTATTAATCAAGTCTGCTGGAGCATGGTAATTACCACGCTCCAGCAGATTCCAGGGTCACGTGTATCAGTGTCCCCACGCTGAAAAATGGTGGTGGGAATGCTCCAACTAAGGTTTGTTCAACAAGCTTTAGCTAAAGTGACCCCATTGCCACTTTTCAGCATGGAGATGCTGATACACATGACCTTGGAATCTGGACACTTTAATTAGAGCCACTTTAAATTAACCACCCCCTTCACAGAGCTACTTTAATTAAAGCCACTTTTGGAGCTGCTCTAAGTACCTCCCCCCCACTCGCCTCCCAGAACACATGTAGAAATGCCCTATATTTGCATACTTAAAAGGGCTAATAGTGTGTGGTACTCCACAACACCCCTGAAAGGATCTCGAGGCACCCTGGCTGAGAATCATTATTCTAACCCTAGAAACAGCCGGACCACAAACAGGAAAAACTGTTCTGTCTGTTTGACTTAGTCCATCAGTGCTATGAGTCATGAAACAGAGAGAAGAGGCTGTGTTATGGCCAACACATAGGAATGATCCTGGCTACTTCCATTCCTGTCTATGCCAGAGACTTTGCCACATACACTCTTGGTTCATTTTCCTCTTCAGCAAAATAGGGACACAGGACCTCCTTCCTGGGAGTGCTAGAAAGCTAAAATTGTTCATAACGCAATTTGCAATTCTCCATTGGGAGTACCATCATGTATAACTGGGCCCACAGAAATCAGAACAATTTGTTTACGTAGCTTGCAAAGCAAGAAAAAATAGATTATTGATCATAATGCCCAAAAAGGTACAGTGAGTGTCTGGGTATTTAAAAAAAAAAGTTTTTACTTAAGAAATATTGCAACTGGAAGTCTGTTGTCTACAGGTCATATTTTTGAGTTTCATAACTATTAACTGAAGACTGTCTAGAGCTGTATTTATCCAATTGCTCAAAAAGAAATATTAAAAAGGCTTTAGAAGTTGGAAAGAAAAACTCGCTATTACCTCAGTCAACTAGTTTTGCGTGCATGGAATTTCTGATGTCATCCTACTCCTCTTCCAGGATAAACAGGGCAGAATAGACATGACTGTAAGAAACATGGAGGAAGACAAAATTCTTTCACCTCTGGACAATGTCAGGCATAATAAAAGCCATAAATCCAAACTGAACTCAAATGGACAATGTAAAAGATATTTTTATAAGTTCTAGAAAGATAAAATAAACAAACCAAACATTAAGTAATTGCCCATGTTGTTTTCATTCATGTATTTTTTCTAGTTTTACAGCTAATAAGGACATTGTGGTACGTGCTAAATAGTAAATGTTGCAGTTGATACTTGGCACAATTGTTGGGCCTAGTTTTAGACATATAACCCATCTTGAAACTCAGGACCTGGCTCTGGCCATTTCTGTTGTCACAAATCCCATGAATTAACAGACCAGCATATAAAACCAGTTTTTCAGCCTGTTGTCTCTTTCTGAGAACTGCTCAAGGCTCTACAAGAACCCTATAAGTACTATTAGCTGCTTTATCTATACATAGCCATGGCTTTCATGGCTTACTACTTAGTAGTCACAACTCATCAGTAATATTTGTAGATTTAAATATTTACTTGAAGTTTTAAGTGTAAATAAATTTCTTTAAACTATTACTTTGTTTTATGGTTTATGCTGTTAAATTATTGCAAAACAACCATGCTTTAATGTGTTCAGGATAGAATACAATGTTACTTTCCAGAGTGACTGCATCATGCTTCCAGCTTCAAGTGGCAACAGCTTAATTTTTTTGTTTTTTGTTTTTTTTTATTGCTTGCATAACTCATTATACAAATTTGTCAAAATAAGTAGCTATTACAAGAAGATTCGACACAGCATTCTTTGCACAAACATTTGAAACACAGGAAACATTTTTTACAAATTATTTTTTTGCTTATAAGAATATTTTTATACAGAAAATATATTTTTGTACACTTTACAGAAATGTGCTAGCATTTACATTTTTTTTACTCACAAACTTGATGGTCTGATGCAATTTAGGTTTTAAACTATACTTAACAGTATGTCAAAGCAGCAACTCATTGCTTCTTTCTTTCATATTTCTCAAGTATTGAGCCAGAACATAGAAAATATCCTCAAGACTATTTTAGTTGGCAGACAGTTCAAGTATCTTAAAACTCTTCAAAGTGTTATCAATGAAATACTTGGTATTCTTCTAAAAAAATAATACTCTAAGTTTGAGTGTTAAGGTATAGCAATAAAAACCTTAACAAGGCAGCGTTTTTTGTTTTATTTCTGTTATACTATTATGCTGGCTAATACTGTAGGAACCCAATTGAACAGAGCCATCATATACTACAGTTCTCTGATATTGTGAACTTCAAAATGAGATTTCAGAAACTACTACAGTAAATGCTATGCAGCATTAATAAAACATATAAACGTAATAAAAATACTTCCTTTTTTCTTAAAAAGACTGGTTGTGGTACAGAAAAAACCCAGTAAAGTACTACATTATAAAAAAAGGAAGAGTGCAGCTACAGGAACTTGTTAGTACGTGGCAAACTGAGTTGTGAACTTACAGGCCCTTGCCACTTCATGGTAAATAAAAGATAGCTTTCCCCTTGGTGCAAGTTGGGTAAACATGCATACACACAGATATTGTCGGCATGAACTGCTGCAAGTTCACATCCTAACTTAGCTCACAGTCACTTGTTCAGGTAGACCCTAGATCTATGACATGGGAAGAAATTGAAAAAAGATGTATATAAACATATTAGCAAGCCAGAAAATACATACTCGCTGGGGTCACCTGACCCCAGTTGTCTTTCCTGCCTGGTGCAGGGGGCTGGACCTGATGATCTTCTGAGGTCCCTTCCAGCCCCTTAAAATCTATGAATACATTTAAAAAGATTTTATTTCTGCAAAGATAGTACTGAAGTCCATAGGGTATCATGTAAAGCTCAAGCCTAAACTGAACTGAACAATTTGGTTTTGTGTGACATCGGCTATGCTTCAAACATCTGTACTGATAAGCAAGTTCTCTTTTGAAAGTTCTATCACCTTAATGTGGAGTTAGGAAGGATTTTTCTTCAGATGCACCACTGTACTCTTATGTTCACATTTTCTTGCTTTCTAGGAATTCTATAAATGAAAACAGAACTCTTAAATGCTAGAGAAAAATAGTCTAATCTCTCAATAGCCTTAAACTGCTTAGTATGTAAAAGTTTGTCAACTGAAACTAAAGTACACACAATCATTTTTAACATTTTATGCTTCAAGAATTAAGTGTCCACTTCTAAGCAAATGTGGTATTCTGAATTATGCAGTCTTCTTAACAAACAAACGAACAAAATGAACAAACAAATGAACTAAGGTGGAACAGATATACATCTTCCTACTACAACACTGCAGCATGGAGGGTGGTTTGTACAGTCAGCATTTCATCAGAGATGGTAATGAATCACATTATACTGGGTCACATTTAGAAGAAATTCAAAACACTTATTCCAGTGATTTTGCGAACTCAGCATAATCAATATATCCATCATTATTTTTATCATCATCTCTTAACACATCATCTATTAGACTAATTAGCTCCTCTTCTTTCATTGCTTGAGTGTGTTCACCACTTTCCTAGAAGGAAAAAAAGAGAATTAAAATAGTGTTTCTCAATTTGATAGGACACTGGAAAAAAACATGCTACAATCTAAGCCAAAGCAAAACAAAGTCCTTGTTTCCTCAATTCCCTGAACACCTTTATCTTTTTCTCCTCCTTTCCTCGCAGACAACCATACCAATAAGGAAAGCTTATCACTGACATGTTTACACTTACTAAAAAAAGGGCTATGCAAACATTTTACTTCAGATAAAGGAATTGTCAACATGAAAATGTTCAATATTACTAGGCTATAGCAAAGGAGATGTTGATGGCTGTATGGAAAAACCTGCCCTTTTAATCACACAATCCGAACAGAAATAAGAAGTGGAGATAGACTTGACATTCTGTGTTTTTCCTAATAGTGTAAGGACTAATTCTGTTCCCTAACTACATCTAAACAGCCTTGCACCTGGCTGAGGTCCTTTAACAAAGCACATGATCTGAGCCTTCAAGAGGCCGAGAAGCGATACTTCTCTAATACTACTACCAGTCCAAAAGAAGTCCTATTTAAGTTAGGAAGAAGGGTTTTACTCAAGGGCCTGAGATTTTTTTAAAGGCATCTGAGTCCTTACTTGATTATTCATTGTCCTACATTTAAGTAGCCACTTATACAGGAGGCAAAGCTAGAGGATCAGAGTCCAGATATCTGACTTCTGCATCCCTTCTCCCCCCTCAAAAAAATCCAATCCCCTAAGGTATAGTTTATATTCTTGGTTAAAGGACATGCAAATTAAATCAGCACATAGTACAGAAAGAGAAGCTAGTCAAGGTGACACACAGTTAATTTGGAACTTTATCTATATACTGTATGAAGTATATTTCCAAGCATGAGAAACAGTTCCAAAGTAGTTATAAGCTGATTACACTACAGTATGTTATTACTGTTACAGATAGTCACAATAATATTCTTAACATAACACTTAGAGAAACAAAACAAAGCAGCTTATTTACAAAGAACAGGATATTGTTTCCTGCTTTCAGAGGAGCTTTTGCTATAGCTGAACACAAGAAGTCTTTGTTACTCTGAACTGCATTTAATAATCCTTCTCAAATTAAACCCCTTAATATTGTCTTCCTGAGGTTTCTGACTTCCAATTTGGGGTTTAAAAAAAAAAAAAGGAGAGAAATCAACTTCCTCTCCAACCCAGGGTAAAATTATAAATAAGGCAGCCCTACACCTGTCCCTTTAAAACTCAGCACTAGAAGTGCTGAGATTAAAGCCCTTATACCTGCAATTTTCTTCCAGCTTGCATGGCCACAGCAATGGCAGTCTGAAGTTGAAAGAAGTAGTGATAGAATTTGGAGCAGTATTGAATCAGGAACTATTTATTAAGCTTCCTTTCCCACAGCAGCACTGCAACATTCCAGCCACAGAACCAGTAGTTCTCCTTTCCGCGCCTACGCACAATGCTCTTCTTTTCTCTGCAGAGCCATCATACATAGCCTCCAAGGTCACATATAGCCTAGCAAGCCATACAGAAGTTTAAACAAGGACAGGGCATTTCTGGGGCCCTGTTTGCAAAGCAATGGATATAGTTTGACTGAATTAGTATATTTATAAGTCAAAACAAAAACTGATTCATCTGAGTACATGTTAGATGCACATTCTGTCTGATGCTAAACACTGCTATTGTAAATACTGCTCACCTGTTTATGTACATGGGATATAGCAGTAGCAAGTTCTAATCCATCAAGCAAATTATTGCCATCGTAATCATGCATTTTGAAATAATGGAGCTGTAGCTCTTGTGGGGACATCTCGGACTCTGGTTTGTCAATTACACCTTCTAAGTGTTCCATAATATGACTGAAAATAAATAAGTTAAGCAGTTAATATTTAATAGCCTGTTTATATTCAGCTATGTTATCTGACCAGGGAGCAAGTCAAACACGGGGTGAGATTCCATGCTGTGTCTTTTGGAGGTCTGACACAGAATTTTAATCCAGTGGAAGGGTCTATGATAGCTTTAAGTCATTCTTGGATCCTCCTAGTCCTGGTTTCCCCTGGATATCCAGGGGTCAAAGAAACCTGTGCAAAAAAAAACAGAGCAATGCACACGGGGGCAGTCTGCACTGCTCAGAACCGAAGCTTGGCCAGCCAGAGTAATGCTCCAGCTGCTGGCCAGACTCTGAGCAGCAGGATCACCGCTACTGTAGCCCCAGGAGGCCCCCAGGTAAGGTTGCTGGGGCCAGCCCAGTGCTAGCCCCAGATACCCCTATCCCATCCAGGGTAACCTGCTGTGTGCCAGAGGGCACTTGGCACAGGCACTCCCTGGGGAAAACTAGTGGCAGCATGAGGTGTCCCACTGCTAGTTGTTGCCAGGGACCCAAACATCCACACTTGTGTGGACATGGCCTATGGGGCCCCTTTATACTACTCCAGCCCTTTTATCTTGCATAAAGAGGGGAGGAAGAAAGAGAGGGGAGGAGACTTGTTTTGTAAGTGTTCAGAATATAATTGTGTATGACAGCAAAATCATTTTGGGGGAGGATGGAGGTTAAAAATGTGTTCCAGCTAAGTGCCTCCAGAAATGACTTTTTTGGACCCAGGACCCATACTAAAGTTTTGCAGGAAATGTGTCTTGAAGTCCTATCTTTGATCCCCCCAGAGGTGTCACCTGCAAGGTGAGCCCAACTATTAGCATGCGATCTTTTGCAAATGGCCTCCTGAGTCTACCTGTACACATTTTAACTTGAGATGTCTCAGTCATTATGTGATACAAGTTTACATTTGCAGAATACATACTCTTTGTCTTGTACTAGGTTCTTATCAAGGCGAATATTTCCTTGATGACTGTCTTCTACATGATTGTCAGCTAAGGCAGAGATAAAGAGGAATGCAGACACTACGCAGTACAGTAAATACGTTCTAAAAATCCTTGAAGCCATCGTGATTGCCTAGCAAAAAAGGGGAAAAAAGACAATCTCAGTAACATGCAATACATTTTCAATAGACTGCATATAAAGCATGTTTAAAGATTCTTGTTACAGAACAGAAGCGTATCTTTTACACACACACACACACACACAAATAACCACCTTCTATAACATCTATTTATATATTTTCTCCAGCTGAAAACACAAAGTAACTATCAAGAATTTTTTTCCTATCTTATTCCAAATAAGAATATGTAGCCACTAAGCCCTCCAAAGTCCAAACTTAGAATGACCTGCAAATTAACAAATGTTTTATAATCAAATGGCCACTGTATCATCACCCAAAATTCTACAGGTAAAGAAGCTTTATTTCCTTAACCTTAATCTGTGGTTCTTAGTCCAAACTAGACCTCCTTCCTCAAGGTTGAATGGGGAGATCACTTACTGTAAGTACACTGCAGATACTACAAGTTCTAAAAACAAAATAGCAGAAATGCTCAGTTTAAGATGGACATTGACAGAAGTCAGATTCTTGAAACTAAAGATAAAGCTGAGATGACTGTTCAAATTCTGTTTAATTGCTTCAAAGAATCCTATTAATGACTACTTCACTATAGCACTGTTTAGGGTCCATGCACAGGTGTATTCTAAACATGTCAACTCTCTTGTGGATCTCTGTAAAGATAGTCACAATAAAAGCCTATTATTTCAAGAACGAAATAGTTATTTGATTGGTTATCCAAAATACAAGAATTGTAAGATGATGATTCCTTTAAATTGCATTATTCAGTCATATAACATGAAAAATGGCATTAATTAAAGTACCCCAAACAATAAGTTCACCTACTAATATGCAAGAGACTAAAAACTCATCACTCAATGCTCTTTTATTGTACTTACTTTCATGGGTATGAAAGCAAGTTTGAAGAGCTCTGCCTACCCCACCGAATTACTGGTAGCCAAGGAATTTGAATGCAAGACAAGTAGTGTTAACATCCTACTGCAGAATCTGGGGCCCTAGGCCCAAGAGGGGACATGACCATTGGTGGCAAGGGTGAGACAAGGCTGTGCAACAGCCCTCAGTAGCCCTGAAGCCACCTGGCCTGCAGTCACTTGTGCACTACCACCACACTCTGGCCCATGGCCACTTGTCCCACTTCTGCCACCCTGGCCCAGATCCAGCTCACGAGGAAACCCATAGGCAGGATTCAAGCCCAGGCACAAGGTAGATTTATCACCCCTGTGATAGATAACATAATAGGGACAATAACTATCATGGAATTTAATATAGCCTAGAGCAAAGCAAGTGCTAGTCAGTATTAACAGGAATTATGAAAAAGCTACAAGAGTGAACAGCAGCACAGAACAACCTACCAAAGCAGGTAAGCCTAGAACAGCAGTACAAAGTAATATACACTCTCTCTTCCCTACCCTCCTCCCTCAAAAAATGAAACAGTCCCTTCCTTCTCATTAGTATTTGTTGGACAAAAGGGTTGATGTTACTTTTGGCTGTGGTTGCAGGTCACGTAGCATGTTCTAGAAAAGGAACCACCAGCCGCTTTTATAAGCCTGTGGGCTGCTACCAAGGCAGTACGCAGAGTTTGCATAACCTGTGAAAATCTTAGGTTTTCTTTCTTATTTTTTTAAGCAATGAAGCATTCATTGATCAAATATATTTCTCCATAGTCTCCTTGATAACATCCTCTCTGTCCTTGATAATAGAAGCATTTCAAGAAAAAAATCTCATTGTGAAACTTTAAACACTATGCTTGTTCACTGAAAAGTTCAAAAACAAACAAAAAACAAACCAACAAAAAAACAACGTTCCTTAGGACCACCTCCCTGGGTAAGTAAAATATGATACCACTCTCACAGTGCTCCATATACTGTGTACGGTAGTAGATCCACTAGCAAGGTGTGTTTAGACTAAGCAAGTTGTGTATTAGAGGCAGAACATTTCAAGGCTTTGATGGGAACTTCTGCATGGCACATTTCGATCCGAGACTCTGAACAGATGACCTAGGGCTTACCTACATGTCAAAGTTGCATGAGCTTTTTCCGGTTAGGACCAGTATAGCTTCTCCCATGACTGCCCCGCTCCCGTCTCGCTCCCCCTTTCCCTTCTGCCTTTGTATTTATATAGTCTCTTTCTGCCCTTACACGCTGCTCCCTGTACCTCCTTTCACAGCAGCTGAAGTCAGCTCTATCTAGCCCACAAGCTTGTGATAAATATTTCTCTATCAGTACCTATATTGACAGACTAGATATCAGGAGGCGCTACTTCACAGTCAGGGCGGCTAGGGTCTGGAACCAACTTCCAAGAGAAGTGGTGCTGGCCCCTACCCTGGGGGTCTTTAAGAGGAGGTTAGATGAACACCTTGCTGGGGTCGCTTGACCCCAGTAATCTTTCCTGCCATGGCAGGGGGGCGGACTAGATGATCTACTCAGGTCCCTTCCGACCCTAGAAACTATGAAACTATGACACAGACAGGCAGATATAGCTATACCTACAGATACGCAAATATTGATAGAGATGGACTGGCAGACAGACTTACCTATACCTACAGATATGCAGATCTTGACAAACAGACAGATATCCCTATACCTATGGATCTGTAGGTCTTGAAAAACAGATGGACGGGCAGATATACCTATACCTACAGATATGTGGATCTTGATAGACAGAAAGAAAGCCATAGACATATATATACCTATAGATACTCAGATTTTGAAAAGCAGATGGACAGACAGATGTACCTATGCCTATGGATACTCAGGTCTCGACAGACAGACAGATGCACCTATATCTACAGCTACGTAGATCTTGGAAAAGCAGACAGGTGGACAGACAGACATATCTATACCTATAAATATGTCAATCTTGATAGACAAACAGATGGACAGACAGACGTACCTATACCTAAGGATACATGGATCTCGATACACAGACAGATGTACTTATACCTATGGATCTATGGAGCTTGAAAAGCAGGTGGACGACAGATGTACCTAGACCTATGGACACTTAGGTCTTGACAGACAGGTGGAGGGACAGACAGACCTACCTAGGCCTACAGATGCATGGATCTTGACAGACAGACTCTTACGCACCAGGTACAGGTAGACAGACATACCGTACCTACCTGTCCCTACAGATCCGTGACTACTGCTAGACCGACACCGCGCTACCTATGGAGACGCAGATACAGGCGGCCAGACAGACAGATCCCTACCTGCCGCCGCCCGAGCCACCGCCTCCCACGTGCTCCGCCAACCGACGCTGCGGGGGCCGAGGGACAGTGACGTAGAACCCACCCCAGCCGCTCTCACCCGCCGCCGGAGCGCACAGCCGCTGCACTGCCCCTGCCGCCGGCTACGGGCACCCAGCAGGTGTGGGCGGATCTGGCCCGGCTCGGCCACCATCTCCAGCCCCACCTCTGACCCGACGCATGCGCGTGTCGCGCTGCCCGCCCCCATCCTGCCCATTGGCTTCTCTTTGCCCAGGCCGGGCCACGTCACAGTAACTTGGATCTCCACGTGGAACCGTACCTGAAGGGACACATCGCCCCAACCCGTGGCCCCGCCCCCTCCCCCCCGAAGGTTCGGCCGTGGCAAGCGCCCGGCGCTGCTAGCCCCGCCCCCTGGGGCGGGACTTGGGCGGGACTTTGTGCCCGAGAGGCTCTGGCCCTGGGTGGGGGGTTTTGCGCTGGGTATTGCTTGGTGCGGCCTGCAGCGGGGTGGGACTGGAGACTCCGGCCCCAAGGCTGCAAGGGGCGCCCACAACTCCCTGCGGGACCCCGGCCTGAGTCTGCACAGAGCCTGTAGCAGCTGCGTGCTGTGGAGAGGGGCTGTCAGCCTGGTGCTCAGCCTCCAGCTTCCACCCATCCCCACCCTGCCCCACTTCAAATATTCCCATTTGAGTGGAAAACAACTTTTTTTTTTGAGACAGCTATTAAAAAAATAGATACCTGCCGGCAGGGAGGTGCACAGCTATGTGCGCCACCTTTAGCAACGGCAATCGGGACTTGTAGCAGAGATGATATCTTTCATTAGACCAAGGATTTTGCAACAACAACAAAAAAATTCTTTAGCAATGTGTGCTTGACTTTTTCCATTTAAAAAAAAAGTTCTTTGTGTTCCAAGCTAAATCAATTCCAAATCTGTGAGTCATTCAAGAACCATATGTGGCCGTACTACCAGCAAGGCCCTGTTACCCTTCACCCCCGCCTGGGGTTTCAGATGCTTCCAAATCCATTGGCAGGCATCGTAGGTGCAGGCCTAAGCCCTATAGCATGGGGTTTAGATTCCCCTGAGTTTGGCTTGCCCTCAGCGGTACAGCCGCAGGAGCAAGCTAAGGAGGAGTCCTCCTTTTCCATAAAGTCAGCGTGTAGCCGAGATCCTCCCACTGGAAGCTGGGCAGTCAGAAGCTAACTATGAGGCTCTTGTAGGGAGTCCTGTCCGCAAGCAGACAAAGGTACAACCCTCCACAATGCCATTTTAATTGCATTACCTCGGTCAGGGTATTTCCCCTGTCACCACTGTAGGCATTTTTCCTGCCAAGTAAGTATGTGCACTTAACTTTTTTTTTCTTTTTAAAGAAAATGTTTCGTGTTCCAAGTGAAAACAGCCAAATCAATTCCAAATCCATGAGTCATTCAAGAGCCATATGTGGTCCTACTACCAGCAAGCATCCTTCACTCCCACCTGGAGCTTCAGATGCTTCCAAATCCTTTGGCAGGCATCCTACATGCAGACCCACAACCTGAAACATGGGGTTAAGATGCCCCTGAGTTTCGCTTGCCCTCAGCTGCAGGAACAAGCTAGGGAGGAGTCTCCCCCTTCCATAAAGTCAGTGTATAGCCAAGATCTTTCCACTGGAAGTGAATGTGGGAGGCTAACTATGCATTACCTTAGCTGGGTACTACCCCTGCCAAGGAAGTGGTAGGAAAAGTTTGCCAGTAGGAAAACCACCTTACTGGTCATAGTATTTCCAGCAATGGATGAAGGGAGCAGTAGCCTGGGAAAGATTGTGGCTAATATAGAGAGATGGATGGAGAGATGGGTTTCTATGCCTGTAGATGGAGCTCACCCACAGAAGCTTCAGATGGGTAGGTGTCTATGCCTGTAAAAGTACAGCTACTGACATATAGCTAGACAGATAAATAGACCATGGATAGGTATCGATATATGTGTGCCTGTAGCTATAGGCATACAGGAAAACACTCAAATCTTGGTATTGTTTTGCCAGCCACATCTGCTTCTTCACTATCTGGCTGCTGGGCATCACCCCTCTCCAAGGACTGAGACCTTGCAAGGCTGGGGAGGTTTGTGTGTCCCAATGACCCTCTGAGCTATGTTGCCCGGAGTCACGCTCCTGGCTAGGTCACCAATGGAGAACAGGCCTGCAGTGAGGTTCCAGACAAACCATGATCCAAGCCCAAGTCCTAAACGCCAGCTCAGGCAGGAAAAGATGTCAGGATTTCTACAGTTGTAAAGAAGAAAAAGGGGTGCAGCAGGATGGATGTCTCCTATCGTTTAGAGCAGGGGTTCCCAACCTTTTTATGCTGCAGACCGTCAAATTCGGACCAACAGTGACCGGCATACTGCGGATAGGCAGCCAACCCTTTTTTATACTCAGCCACTTCTGGTCTTCTGCTCTGGCAGCAACCCTCCTGCAGACTGGCAGCCAACCTTCATGGCCAGGTATCAGGCCATGGCCTGGGGGTGGGAACCTCTGGTCTAGGGTTTTCCCTTGCCACTGGGCTCAGATCTCCATCTTGTCAAGATCATGTGGTTACTGTTTCTGTGCACCAGGTTCCTTGTGTTAAACAAAATCAGGTGCCAGCTTCTACCACAGGAAACAACATGTGGGGTATCATGCCATCCAGAGTTGTGAGGGGTGGTGGCCACTTTTACAGACTGCTTTGGGCCTATGTGATCATGCACATCATAGCAAGTGGATGTCAAGCTGGGGAGCCCAGTGGTGATCTCAATAACCTGTGCAATTTGCTGAATGTTACATCTGATTCTGCTCCACCAAGGAGCTGCAGGATAGGGGTGAAGATTGGAGGGGTGATATTGGTTTGGAGGCTTTTCTTATTTCAACTGAGGGATTGTGTTTTTTTCCTCTCAAGCACTGTGTGTGTTAAATGTCAGGTTTCTCACCTACACAGTACGTGTTTCCGGAGCATGCTGGTTTGATTGCTTCAGAGGTGATCTGCAGAGTTCTTTACTTCTATTAGTGTCACTGTAACAGGGAATTCATACCGTGTTACCTGCGGAGTAAGGTAAGGGAAGGAAAAGAAATGATGGCAGGGAGCTAGGAGGCTCCAGCCCCTTTAGGAGAACGCAGCAGGCTCAGTTGGCCCTAGCTGCAGGAGGGCAGGCTTCCTCTTGATTGACAGGGAAAACCCTGTGCAAGGCTCCAAGAGGCAGGTGATCAAAATGGGGCATGGCTCCCAGCCATATAAACCCAGGTCCTGAATTAGAGCAGTCAGTCTGGTTTTGGGAGCTGTTGAGGAAAGAGCTCTAGGGTAGGAGTACTGCAGAGGAGTTCCTGGCTGACAGTTATAGCTAGAGTGTTTATTTTTGGGGTTAGGGTTTTATGCTGGTAGACCAGGTTGTGGCTACAAAGGGCAGATGAGGCCAAAGGGGGGCACTTAAGAACACCTAGAACTGAGCCAGAGTGAGGTGCTTGGGGTAGGTGGCACATAGAGGCTTAAAGCCACAGGGGTGCCTGACTGGCACAAGCTGTTTTTGAGCTCTGCCAGGGGCTGGGGCTCATGATGGGCAGGTGGAATCGAAGTAGGGTGACCACCTGTCCCTAACTGGGCAGGACCTCAAGTCCTGGTCCTGGGTTGCATGATTCTGGAACAGCATTTGTTCCAGATTCACAGTATCTTCAGGGAATTTGAAAAGGCTGCTAGCCTGCAAGGGGCTGACAGGCGGTGGATGACCAGGAGGTGCTATGTGCATCTGTGTGTCCACACACATTCACATGGCCAGAAAATACAGCTGAGAAGTGTGAAGAGCCTCTCCCTGCAAGTATGTCTGGTGGAGAGGGGCATGGGGAATTGGAGGGGGTGCAGAGTGAGGCCCCCACAGTGACAGATGGAGTGGGGCAGGGGCAGATGTGGGCTTGGAGCTTCCTGCCCTGCCCCTGGGGGGCCTACAATGACTGTGCCACCTTGGTAAGGTACCCCCTGCTCACCTGGCAGCAATGGGGACAGTGGTGGCATGGAGTTGTGGCCCTGCTGCTGAGGGAAAGGCAGCATGGTGGGGAGCCCTGAGCCTGCAGTGGGCAGCCCACATCCACCACCTGCTCTGCTTGCCTTGGCTCGGCTTGGCTCTGGTTCAGCTGTGGTGGCAGTGACAGTGGCAGTGGGGAGATGGGCATGTGCCCTGCCTTCCACTTTGGAAAAGGTGGTGACCTTAAGGCCAAGTGAGCTAGGATCATATTACACTGGTAGTAGAGGTGGCCTGAGGCCAAGAGGGCTAAGGGTCAAAGCCTGAAAAGGAGGAATCGGGCCAGAAGCATAGAGCAAAGAGACAAGGGCCAAGAGCCCAAGCTGAGTGAGATGGGCCAAGGGTCAGATAAGGCTGAGATTCGGAAGCCAAACCTAGAGGGAATGGGCCTAGGCTAGCAGTTTGCAGCAAAAAGTGACCAGCAGGTTAAAACTAAGAGGGCTTAAGCCCCTACAAGCTGGTGTATCAGTCTGGACTGACACCTGTGAGTCATGGCTGTGACTATGGGGGGGCAGCTGGAGGTCACAAATTTAGGTCTTAAGGCATGTAGGGCTGGAGAATGATGCTGAGATGGAGAGAGTGCGTAGGCTTATACCAGGTCTCCAAGGCAGCCTCCCCTCATTACTTTAACAAGGTGTGGCAGGAAAGGAATCGGGGTGATACTCTGGGAGGCTGGAATGGGAGCAGGACAGGATAGGGATGGTTAAAAAAAAAAAAAGCCGGGGGGGCACGATAGCAACTCCAGGCACCTCACCTGTTACAATCGCCCTAACCTTTGTTATATATGTCTTAACAGGCATGTCTCTTGTGTTACCTTTGGTTGGAAACATGCCAGTCTATTTCTTCTTGGTCTCTTGTGGGCTCAGATCAAGTGCAGTCCTATGCTTATCTGGTAAGGAAAGCACCGTGAACACAGAGGCAGTCTTCCTAGTTGCACCCGGGGAAGACCACTTTCCTGGCACAGGGATAGTACCTGCCAAGGTAATGTATAGTAAACCTTCCACTTAGCTGCTGGAGTGGGAAGGTCTTGGCTTTATGCCCACTTTAAGGAAAGGGGAGACTGCTCCCTAGCTTGCACTCAGCCATAAGGCTGCAGGAGCAAGCAAAACACAGGGGCATCTGAACCCCAAGCCTTTGGGCTTGGGTCTGTAAGTAGGATGCCTGCCAAAGGACTTGGAAACATCTGAGCCCCAGATAGGAGTGGAGGATGTTTGCTGGTAGTAGGGCCACTTATGGTTCTGGACTGACTCACGGATTTG